AGAGAACGAGAATGGCACAGCCTTCCCCGCATCGAACGACTCTACCAAATAAAACGTTGATTCTCCGAGTCAACAATACAAACAAATCAAAGGCAATAATTCCTCTTCTTGGGAATAAAAACACCACTTCCAAATAAATGTTTCTTAGACAAAGTTGAAACAAATCTCCAAAAGCCGCCAAGTATCTTTGTTATATTTAATTTAACAAAGGTCTGTATTTGCGTCAATACCTCAATAGGTCTTATAAGTCAAATCAAAATAAAATACAACTTTTCTCAAGCTATATTTAAACAAATTTATAACTTTTCTCAAGTTATATCTCGCTCTCACCCTTTCACTTTCACTGTTAAATGTAGCCGTCTCTTCTACTCCAATAGCTTCATGTCTCGCACCTCTCGCCTGTGGAACTCCCTCCCCTTTTCTTGTTTCCCTCATACCTATAATCTACAACTATTCAAAAGTAATGTCAACCGACGTCTCCAGATGCTTTGATCTATCCCCTATCCTTCTCCTCCTCCTCCTCTATCACTCCTATTTGCTCTCGCTCCAAATTTTCTGTAACCCCTTGCGTGCTAGTGGCTTCCCGCCTTGCTTGGGGTGAAACGCTTAAAAAAAAAAGAAAATTAAACAAACTTTTCTCAAGTTATATTTAAACAATTTTTAGCTCCGGAATTCTACCGGAATTCTACCGGAATTAATAAAAATCTTTTGTACAGAGACGTCCGAAACGAAAATCTCTTCTTCCCATCCCTAAATAAAATCAGATATATAGCAATTAAAGTTAAATAAATATTAGCTATATTAAGAAAATAATTCGACACTGTAAGTCGAATATTCGAGAAAACACGTTACTTTACGTGGCAAACTAAATTAGTTGCCCACGGAGCCAGAATACAAAGCGTCTTAATTGACCAAAGAAAAATTTCTGACTGAGGACAATCTCTCCCGATCAAAGAGAGGCGCCGTCTCCCGCCTCAAACCCCATAAAAAGGCGTCAATAAAAAACAATCTTCTACTTTGATATCAAAGGCGTATCGTTCCAAATTTCAATACATTAAATATTTCTTCACTGAAGTTATTGAAATGTCTTCGAATTTTAATATTCTAAAATTTTACAAATAAAAAATTCTCAAAAGTATTATGGCACATAAGCAGACGTGACTCTCATAGGAATGTTTGCAATATTCACTCAAGAACGCAAAGTAATTTGCTATGCAATCAGAGCGCTCACTGAGGTTATTCCCACACTAAAAGGAAAATGCTAACGCTAGTATGTGCTGTTGAGCATTTCTATCTCTATCTGGTCAAGGCAAAATTCAGGGTAATAACGAATCACAAACCACTTTGAGTCATTGTCAAAAGCCAGAAGCCAGCTACAAATGAATGTTGGAGATGAGTTAATATACTGCTTAGGAAGAAACAAAAACAACCCAACTGACTATCTCAGTCAACACCCACAACAGCAGAGACAATATGGATGAAATATATGCACACTCAAAATTCTGACTCTAGAGGAAGTCAGAACCGCAAAAACAACAGGGCACCCAGCTTCAGAAGCTGGTGTCAGTAATCCACTCCTCTTGGTGGCAAGATTTAGGCTATCACAGACAATGTTGTTCTTCATGATTACCACTTGGTATTTCCATGTAGGAGAGAATAATCGACATAACACAAAATTCGCCAAGTGATCAAGACGAAGCAGCTAATTCAAGAGAAGGTATGGTTTCCAGAGATCGATAGGATGGTGGAAGAAATCGTCCAAATTTGTATTCCATGTCAGGCGTAACACCTAGTCCAGTTCAGTATGAACTGCTATGAAAAAAAATTAAAGTTACTACAATTAACTCTCCAAGAGGTTTACTCAGATGGAAGCATATGCCTTATGGTGTAAAAACAACAAGTGCTATTTTTCAGAGAACAATTGAAGACTGTTGATGTTAAGAATATGATCATTTATCAAGATCATATATGCATCGGTGCTTCCAGAGGAGAAAAGTTAAAACAAAAACTACTGGGATGACCATAAACAAGGATAAATGTGTGTTAAATTGCAACACAATAACATATCTGGGATACCAAATTTCTAAAGATGGAATTTCCCCAGACAAAATTTGGTAAAGAAAATATAGGAGATATCTACACTGACAGATAAAAAAGAATTGGAATCTTTTTTAAGGTTAGCCAATTTTTATAGCATTATTTGCCAAAATACAGTGAATTAATAGAAACCTTTGCAGAGTTATGTAAAAAGAATAGCGAATTTAAATGGGCTCAGTGGTAGAATATAGCATTTAAAATTTTTTAAAAAGCACTTATAAAAAAACTTGTAAAAACTTAGTGACTTTAAAGGAAGTGACTTTAACTATGGACGCATATGAGCGTGCCGTATCAGCGATTTTGTCTCAGGAAAGTCATCCTATAATGTACCTTTCTAGAAGGTTAACGTCATCCAAGACTAACTATTCAAACATTGAAAAAGAAGCGTTAGCTTTCATATGGAGCACAGATAGAGGTCGCCCATCTATCAAGACAAAATTCAACAATGAACAATTAGAAAGATCAGCAGACAATTCAGAAGATAAAACAAGATTGAAACTGATGTATTAAATCGACTTGCATTTGAAACCTTACGGGATCCAGTATTAAGCAAAACTGAATAAAAAGAAACAAATGGAGCGATTGTTCTGGGGCAGAGAGATAAGGAACAGGTTAACTATAGAAAAGGATCTTATATGCAATGGGGATGTTTTAATACCATCAGAGAGAAAAGAAAAGATGCAATAAAAAGTGTGCATGATGATGTTCATTGTGGAATAACAGCAACACAGAGACGATTAAAATTAGAAGCCATGTGGAAAAACGTGTACAAAAAATCCGAAACTGTATGGAAATAAAAAAAAAACTTTCGCCAAACCAAATACATTCATGGCCTAAAGAAAAAGAGCCATGGGCCTCCGCTCATATGAATCATGCACAAGTTAAAGGCATAGGACTATTTTTAATTTTGGTCAACCCAAAATCTCCATGGACATTACCACTACACTTAGTACCCAAATCAACACCAGTACAAACCTTGTGGTGATTATAGATAGCTAAACCTCCTAACTAAGCCGGTATTCTAGTCTTACCTGTATTGATAGGACAACAAGATGGATAGAAGCTACACCTCTTCAAGATACCTCAGCAAATACAGTAGCTATAGTGTTCTTCAACACTTGGATAGCTAGCTTTGCAGTACTGCTTCACATCATCACAGACAGTTTGAAAGTGTATTCATGATACAAAGTGACTTTCATCCTCTATCATATGCAATTTTAATACACATATAACTAAAATACACCAGTACACAAAAATAAATAAAATTATATTATTTTAATTTACAATTTAACATGCTTTTAGTATTATTTCCTTATATGTTTTTATTCCTGTGAAAATTAGGCTATCTCTGCTGGTTTCATGTGAGTGACCCCACACCCCCACAGAATGGATTTGGCCGAGCCAACTACACCTGTTCAAAAAAATGTAACAGAGCAATAAGGTCAGCTACAAGCAACACCAACAGTTCCACAACCAGCCAGGTATAATTCACAATGGTATACAAAATTGCCAAAGAAATTCAACAATTATGTATTAAGTTAAATTACTCATTTATTTCTGGATATTGCAATACTTGAGTAAAATCTAATTAGACCATATAGATCTTATAATTTCACTATTGTAATTATAATAACAAAAAAAGAAAAGAAATGTGTATATCAAAAAAAGAGAGAAACTGGCAGATTGGACTAAGAAACATATTGGACTGCTCTCATGTAAGGATATATATTTGACAATTTTTTTCTTTCTTTTAAAGTATATATTCTCAAAAAAAGGTAATGTACCTATTCATCCTATTCATCAAGAAGAGAGGTGTGATGTATTAACTACCATTAACTACCAGAACTGAAGGCTCCTTTCTAACAAAGATAGCAAATTTCAGACAGCCACATAATGTATGCTAGAAGTCTTTAATTGACCCCCATGTTTTAGTTAGGAATCCCTAACATGTATCTTCCAAATTTGTCTTTCACAATCATACTTATTATAAAACCCAGGTTGTGTGTGTGTGTCTGTACGTTTATATATTTCCTACATTTTTCAACCGATTTCAACAAAACTTCACATGACTGCGTAAAATTACCTTGTGGTGGTTCTGACAGCGCCAAAAATTGGAAAAGCACAATTGTTTTTGCACGAAATCAATTTGAAAACACGATTAAGAGGCATCGCGAGAATGAAAGGGGGATAACTCATATCGAGTTATACTTATTATAAAACCCAGGTTGTTTGTTTGTGTGTGTGTGTGTTCGTTTATATATGGGATCGGATTTCCTACATTTTTCAACCGATTTCAACAAAACTTCACTTTTTGGGGGGCAGGTAGTGTTTCTTATTGTCTTGCATACTTTTTTCTTTATTTTTACATTCAGAATGCTTTAAAAATTCCATTTACAAGACAATTGTTTATAATAAAATTCTATTCAATCGGTAGACTCATAACGATTGAAAACAATATTTTTTGTTTGAGTTTGGGTTTGACCAATTTAAAAAAAAACCCCAAAAAACAAAAAAACAAAACAAAAACTAATTAAGACATGCGTGTCCGTCAACCTTAAACAATAATCTTTGTCAATTTTATTTTTCAGTCTTTATGATGGTCGATATTTGATCTATATCTTAATGTTACATCCCCGGGCAACGCCGGGCTCTACTGCTAGTCTGAAATATTATAATCTAACATTAAATAAAAAGGTATGCAGTGTATTTTGTATGATTTAATATAAATTTTGTTTTGTATTGACAAAATAAACAAAAACATGCTGTATGAAAGGGAATTTTATTGAAGAACTTATTTGTTGTAATATTCATAACTATTTACAATCACTTTTAAGGAAAGAAAGAATTATTTTTCAGCTTAAATACATATTTTAACCATGTAGAGTTGGATGAGAAAAGGAGAATTAACCTGAAAAAAAAAAAAAGAAGCTGTTAGATAATGAAGCCTAAAAGACATGTTTATTGCTATAACAATTCATTCATGCATTCCTCTACTTGGCATATACACTGATTTTTATTGATGTTTAATCATTTTATGCAAAAGATGTTTATTTTTGAGAAATTTAGCTAAAATATAACAACATTTTTTATAACTGGGATCAAGAATAATTTTGGGGACATTTTGTCAGCCAAATCATTTTGAAAAAATATTTGACAAAATTTAACATTTGTACGCTGCAAAAAATGGTGCTTTAAAAGGACGTTTTTCTGCTAATATCACTATTACCTTAGCAATTTTTATTTTGTTTTAAAAACTATTCTTAGAATTTTAATAAAGTCCTAACATCTGAAACTGAAATATGCATTCTCTTTTTTCTTGAGAATTAACAACAAAAATATCAGAGGCTATCTATTTACAAGAATAATTTTATATTTACATTTGAACCAATAACAATATTTATCATTTACTATGTTATAAAGAAATAACTATAAAAACAATGTCTTATTCATAGATTTATAAAAATATCTATGAACAAGAAAATTTAAATAAACACATAACGAAATAACGTTAATAAGTTTAGAAAAAATGCATTTTTCTGGCATTTCTTTTGATTTCTCTCTGCCTTATAAAATCAATAAAATAGCTTGTGAGTATTGAGATTTATTCATCCTTTTAGCACAACATTTTTGATGGGAGATGGAGGAGGGTATGAATATTAAACTTTACCAAAAATTTGAACCAATCATTGATTATGATAAAAGGAAAGAAAACAAAGAATGCCAAAATTCAAAACTCCCTGAAGGTTACTCAAACATAACATAAACAAAACATTTTTCACATAAACATGTGAAAAAGGTCAGAGGGCATAACAACTGAAATGTTATGATAGTAACAACAAAGATTAGGATATTTGTCCTAATATGAATAATATAAATAATGATAACTCCTCATCCCAGAAACTTAGTAATTCTTTTTCTATAAACAAAAAAATGATTGAAATATGTCTAACATAATATCTTCTCTGTTAAAGTTACAAATAAAATCTACACAGCCATTTGCATTTGTTTATAAGTTTTGGAAAAAATAATAATAATTAGATTTACAAAATAAGAATTCAATGAGAATTTATAGTTGAATCACAAGTCACCCTATATAATTAGTAATATTTTATTTAAATATACTTTAATGAAACAGTAAAAATTATATTTAAAGTTACTGACTTAGGTTTAAATATCCTCAAGTAAACAAATATTTCTAAACAATATTTATAACCAATTATTGGTGTTTAAAAACAAATGAAATAAAACTTTAATCTGGTGTACTTACTATTTGAGCAGTCTTTACAACCACAACTTTTCATGTCATAATAACTGGTTTTCCTAATTTTCTTAGATTCACAAACAACATCAACAGATTTTGCAAGTGATGTTATTCCTTGGCAACAAATACAGTTCTGTTGGCTGCTTGCACTGTTTTTCAGATTCATAAGAACTGGTTTTTCTGAACTAGAACCACAGCTGCCTTCACAATAAAAGTATTTAACCTTATTAACTGATCTGCATCCAGTGAGAGAATCAATCAGATAATCTGTTGCCATTTTTAAGGCACAAGTACCTACAAAGAAAATTTTACAGAGAACTGATGATCACAAGAAATGAAGTGAAAATTTTTTGCTAATATCTTTGCCTTTAATTCCTCATGAAAGTTATAAAAAGTCTAGTTCTACAAACTGCTTGAAATCATGAATATTCTATGGAATTATTGTTAATTTGCACTGTTATTCAAATTTACAGTGTTTCTTCAAAATAAGAAAAATTTATATCAAGGTTGAAAAAGATATTTACATTTTGCTTTTAAAGCAACTTAATTTGTTTAATGAACAAGTTTAATTTTACTAAATTTAAATTCATTTTTACTTGATATGAAGATGTAATTTTTTATTTCTAGTGTGTTTGAAATGGCAGCCAGAATAGTTTCATGCATGTCAAGAAATTATTATTATTAATTTTACTTAAATGTTTAAATATTTACTACTAAAATAATGCAATATTATTTTTGTGCTTTTCATATGGTGAGTTCATAATAAAAAACACAAATTAAATCATGAAGATATTACAATTAATATTTGCTAAAAGTTAAGCCACTTATACTACTTTTACTACATAATACAAAAATATATATATATATCTTAAAACTCATGCATTTTTTGTAGATGCTACTATTTTGTATTTTTATTAATTTTTAGATTGTAAAAGTTTTGATAGATGGTAATAGATTATGTATTGAATATAAACTTACTTTTCTTTACACATATTGGACAGCATTTGTTTGGGACATCATAAGAAAGCTCTTCATCCTGACATTAAACCAATTTTAATAAAGATCAGAAATATATATAAAATAAATAATCATAAACAATTAGAATTACCTATGTAAACATGTGATTTGAAATTTAAGTCTTACAAGTCACTTAATGTATTAATCAATGCTAACAACATATATTATTAATGGATATAAATGCTAACAACATATATTATTAATGGATATAAATGCTAAGTATAAATGTTGATTATAAATGAAAAAAGTTATATCACAATAAGATTTTTGGGTAGGATGAGTTAACAAAAATGGCAATAAAATTTTGAAAGATTTTTTTAAAATACTTTTTAAATTTTTTATCCAGTTAAAAATAATTTAATTACCTGTTCACATTTTTCTATGGCACAAATTCGAGAACAAACTGCTTGGCCACCAACACATTCACATTTTTCACATTCATCTGCTTCATTCCTCCAAATACTTCCAGGCTGAAATAAAAATGATGAATCAATCTATCACATGCTCTAAACATATGTATATGCATTTATTTTAGCAAATGAAAATAATAACCAAAATAAATTGTCTTATAAGTCTTAAAAAAGATTACTTGAAAGCCAATGATTATAATGAATCATTTTAAAGTCAAATTATATTTAATCTATTATTTTACTTGAAGTATAAGTAGCTTGGACTTAAGCAATGCATTTATAAACAAAAAACAAATCAGTTCCAATTAGTTATCTGCAACATTTTTTTACATTTTTTTCATAATAATATTAAAGAGAATCCATAAAGTTGTTTTCTTTTTCTAGATTATATAAATATGAGAAGATTATTCCTCTTCTAAATTATATTTTGGGTTATTTCATTATTGTCTCAGTATATAGGTGATGTGTAGGCAATTGTGTGCTATAAATAACATTATTAGTTTCAGTCTGAAATGGTACCAGCAAACTGCAAAATAAGTAAATAAATATCAGCTTGAATAGAAATAAGTGAAAATTCCCCAAACTCTTTGAAAGAAGAATATATTAAAATGGAACTTGCCATTTTTTCAGCGCCATTAATAATGCATGAATCACAAGTCTTTTGAGTGATACAACTATTATTAATGGAACGTTTAAATCCCTCTTTGCATAAGCAAGCAGCCACTTTACACTGTTTAGAATCGTTGCAACTTTTCTCACAGCCTTCTTCCATCCAAATTTCATTTTCTTCACATTCTGTAAATAAATAATCATAAAAAAACTTTATCAGTATAACATAATATTGCATAGAAATTTTACTGCATACTTTCAATTTTAGTTTTTATTTTACAATGGTATCTGGGAAGACACTGGTGTTGCATAGAGCAATTGTGGGCTGGGTAAGAGGTGCAGGGGTCTTGGGCTGTATCTTTATGTTAAGATTTCCCTCTTGGTTTTGTGAGCAGAATCCAAAGGAAAGCATTAAAGAATAGTTTTATACCAGTGCAGCTGAAGAAGATCACACACACAAACAATTTATCCACCATTGGGGCTCCAATCAGGATTTGGGTTTACTCATTAGACTTCCCTTTTCCTTTAGATACAATCTTTTAATTTATTTTCCTTCTCCTAAACTAACTGCCACCCAAGGCAAGCAAGCACAGTTCTGCTATTTAATCCATAGCTGGAGGAACTCAGGAATTTCCAAGGACATTAGTGAGTATATCAAGTAAAAACTGATGGCTCTTTCAGGTTTAAAAGAAAAATGTCTGAATACTTTCTGGCTGTACTTAGGCCGTAAAATGCATTTTGAATATTTCCTTTAACATCTGATTATTCCTTAAAGTTTAAAATTTTCTTTGTATGAAAACTGTTATTGATTTTCAAACTAGTGAAATAATATAATTAGCAAACACAGCATCTCTTGCATCACTTATGTATATTATTTTTAAATTAAATATTTTTATGCTGGTACTTTCACTGAAAAAGTTAAGAGCTTAAAAAAAAATTTCATCACCTTTATTATGTATTATTTCCGGTAAGTTAAATATCTTATTAATTTTTCAACTGGTATGTCTTTCATTTTAATTGTCAACTTAATTAAAAATATTGCTACTAGTAATACTATTTCTTTAATATGCCATGTCCTTTCAGAACATGGGTAATCATGGTTCTCCACAACCTCATGTTATTTGTTACTCTATATAACTTTTGCCTGTCTACTAATTAATGGTTATTCCTTTCTTCTTGCTTCTCTAATAGTTCTTTCAGTTTTCTTTTCAAATCTGCCATCAGCACAGTATCATATGTTGTATGTTACAGTTATGTTATGTCCACTGATGACAAATCTTAGTAGGTCTTCTAATTCTTAGAATCACCTCACTGTATGGGTTAAACAAATTCAGTATGAAATAATATCATTATACTTTTTCTATTTTCTATTATAATAATATCATTATACTTTTTCTATTTTTGTGTATTTATTTTTGTGTATACACTATCTACATGTTTGTTACAGAAGAGATTATAAATTAAATTATCTTTCTGGGTAAATTAAGTTTTCCTACTAAATTCAAGGAGTTCCTCATCTTGTATCTTTATGTCTTTGTGTAATCTATGAAACATTGATATAGACCTTTTTGTGTTTGTATTGCTTACTTTGATAGCATTATGAGTATTTAAATTGAATTTCTTGTTCCAGTGTGTGGAAAAAAGCCATACTATTTTTGTATATTTTGTCTAATTCTTCTGATGTTTCAGTAGAATCTTTATACTTAGTTTAGTAAGGTGGCTCACCAAGCTGATTGTCCAGTGGAGTTTGCATGTGTTTGCATCTACTTTCTTGTCATAATGATGAAGATTGATCTTATATGTGTATGGTACTTCATTACTGTCATATATTTTATTTATCACTTTGGTAATGTTATCAATCATCAAATCATTAAAGACTATCAGTATCTTATCTGCTCCTGCCGCTTTGTTCCTTTTCACTTTGTCCAGTTCCAATCTTACCTCAGATTTAAACACTGTAGATTCTTTCCTGCTTTTACATATTGTATATTTTACTTTTTTGTTGTCATAGAAGAGCCCTCCAATTCATTCAATCCATCTCTGTTGTACCTTTTATTTTTCTATTATGATTATTCTCTTTTTAGATTTTTTGCATAACCAAAGAGCATGTTTTTAGTTCTGTTATTCGTTTATATTTTTACACATGTGTTGTACTTCTATGTACTGTAGTTTTTGATCCTTAAACATTTCTTTTGCTTTCTTGCTCTTATTTCTGAGGTTTTTATTTAGCATTTCTAGCCATTATTTTCTGTCTTTCAGTGGCTTAGAAATTTCACCTGTCATCCATTTTTATCTTTGTCTTTTTTTTTTCTCAAGATGATTTTATTGTTACTAATGCTTCTCTTAAGGAGTTTTAGTTTCAGTTCCTGACCTGTTCCAAAGTTTTATATTTGTTTTGAAATGCATGCTTGTTTGCAAATGGAGAGTTGCCCGCTACAGAGTTTTTTATAGTGCAATTGTGCCATTGCTTTAGTCTTCTTTAATTTTGGTAATTTTAACCTTAGTTTGTATATGACTGGAAAGTATGTTATGAGATGGGATGTTGTTAAATATATGGGTCCCATGTAACAAAATGATAATAGAGAAAAATGAATTGTGCAAAGGAAAACAGAAAACAGAAACCATAAACAGGATTCAGAATTTAAATTATTTTATAATCTTTAGATAATAATAAGGTTAAAAATATATTTCTGTATTTGTAAGTATTCAAATCTTTCAGTAGGTGTAGAGTAAAAATGTTCTTAGTGTATTATCTTTATTTTAGGTTTTGCTTACTTGCATGTCTGTCCTGAAAATGTCATTGATGGTTAGTTGTCAGGAGATTATAGATCAGAAACTGATTTTGAAGTCCTGTTATCTATGTATCTCAGTTCATAACTCCTGTGCACAGGGAAAGCTGCATCCTGGGGCCCAATAAGTTGTTTTTTTTTTTGTTTGGGGGGGTGTTAAAACTGGGAGGGTTATTTTTAGAAATGATGATAGATTTGGGCCTTTTCTGGAAAAAACAATTCCATTTTAAGAAGTGATGAAATATGACTATTTAACAACCATAACAAGTGACTGCTTTCACACTTGTCTTAGAACTTTCTGAGTTCAAAAACATTTTTAAATTGTTTGTTAATCGTTAAGTAGCCTATATGGTTTTAGTGTCACAAGCATATTAGATGTTTTACTGCTATCATTCAAATTTATGCTCAGATTTCAATAACAGCACTTTGGAAGTTTCTATGGATCAATTGTTAAAGCAGCAGTTGTATAAACACAGGCTTTCTGAGTTCAAGTCTAGCTGAAACTTATTTTTCTTGCTTTCTGATCTATGCTGCTTATTAACAGCTGTAGAATGGTGAGGCAAGCCAAAGAAAAAAAAGTAAATTAACTCTTTTAAGCTAATATCTTTCTAACAAAAGGCATAAATTATTTCTTTTGATGTACATATTCCTCCATTATCAGTGAAGGTATTTCTTTTGCAGTTTGGTGATAAAGATAAAAACATATTTTTTGATGAAACAAAGCAAAAATTATGAGAATGTGTACCAAAACTATAGAACAACATATTATGTAAAAGAAAATATATAAGCAACATATAAATAAAATATCTATGATGGTATAGTAAAGAAAAATGGCAATGATTAGAATGCATTTATTGCAGTGAACAGGAGAAATATTTGCAACTATTCAGAGGCATCACTCTGCTACCCATGCAATTGCCTTTGATATACTTAAGCCAAGCACAAGACAAGGTTTGTACATGAGTGGAATGATATAGTACCAACCTCACACATTGCAGAACACCTACCACACTTTGGCCTTATAAGTAAAGCCTCACAACAGCTGACAGATGGTGCTTGGCTTGACAGTTTGGTGGGAGGGCATGACATCTGTCATCGGGATTGCACTGAAGTAATTACAAGAAGAAAGGTTTTCTTCATTTATAGCAAGCTTGTGGGGAACATCTCTATATGCAGATGGTTGCATTTATCAACTGGCATCATGAAGCACAGATCAAGTGTGGTAACAAAAGGATGGGATGACCAAACAGATGATACCTCATGCAGGAAGATATTAACAGAGATTGTTAGCAAAGTCAAGCAGGTGAATGTCAAATAGTTTGACATATGGAATGACACAAGCACTTTGGTGGTTGTAGTATAGTAATACTACTGAGACAGACAGATCTGTCATTGAAGACTTGTGCTGGTTGCATCCTGAATCAGACACACGGCACATCAACCTTGCAGAGTTAGATGCCTTAATAAAGGGAATAAATTTAGCCATTCTGTGGGAGACTAAGATTCTTCACTTAAAAAACAGCTCCTTAGATGTTTATCAGTGGCTCAGTCATATTGTAACCAGCACTTCCAAAGTTGCAAGTGAAATATTGATAAGGAGGAGGCTGGAGACCTTCTCAGAGCTTGTGAAGGAGTACTATATTGATGGCAGATGTTACACTGTTCAAATTAAGCCAAAACAGAGATAGCTTGAGGCAATGAATAATGACGTTCAACACATACTGCTGGTTTGTGCTGCCACCAAAGATGAAATTGAAGCCAGCCAAATAGTAAAAATACATTATATAAATATACAGTGGGCATCCTGGTGTTAAACGGACAATTTACTTTGTCAGATGTGTCACCCCCTCACCACATGCTTCACAGTTCAATATTATTATATTTGTGATGGTTTGCATAAACTTTTAAAGCAGGCATAACATTAATTTTATTTAATATGAAAGTAAGCAGTTTTTTTCCACAATATTTGCTATAACAGCCTATAAAATACTTGCTAGAAAGTCAACTTATAAGACAGCCATGAAACCCAAGTCAAAACACAAACATTAACTAGAACTGTAAGAATCAAAAGATTAAGAACAAACCAAAATTATAGGAGGTGATAATGTATACTGTATATTATTAAAATGTATTCAACAATGAAGAATGCACATACAGAATACTGAGAATATTTAGGTTGGTCATGAAGTAATTTAAACTATTTTTATTTGATAATATTAAATACCTATCTTTTTTTCTGTCTTGAGTTTATCTTTTAGTTCAGTAAGAATTAAGTTATGTGCCTATAGCAATTATAGAAACACACAAACACTGTATGTTATTAATGTTTTCAATATTTGCAATAGCATCTTAGAGTTTTTTCTTGATATGAAAATAAACAGGATGGATATGACAAAATTTATGAAAAATACTTACTACACTTTTTGCCAATGCACTTCTCCTCTTCTCTGAGAATTTTAGGACAATCATTCTTTTCACTTTTGGCTAAAATCTTTCTTTCTCGAACCATAGCTCCAACTCCACAGCTTACAGAACAAGGTGACCATAATGTCCATTCTGTTACATTGCATTTTGCTAGTAGAAAATAAAACAAATAATTGAATCAAAGTAAAACAGTGTTTCATCAAAGATCATTATAATTAGATGATATTCAAACTTCTCTTGGTTAAATTATGAAAAGAAAATTGCTTTTCTTTCCTAATGTTTTTGTCAGCAATGATTTATTATTGATAAATGTTATTTGAAATGTAGTAAAGACCTGAACTTATTTTTCAAAGAATAAATTTACTTACTTAGATATTCTGTGATATTTTATAGTTTTCTGTTATATTTCATTATTATATTTAGTATAGCTGAATGCTGTGTTATGAAAAATGACTTACTTTCACAAATATCAGTATTACATTCTAATAATTGTATCATCTCAACATTGCAATAATTAGCATCTTCTTTGACCTTTAGCTCTCTTGTTCGATTTTTGTTACCATTCCCACATTTTTGTGAGCACTCAGACCACTTAATCCATTGAGTCATCTCACAACCTGCAAGTATAAATTAGATGGGCATTTTATACTATTCAAACTGAAATCAGAAACAGAATTGCAGATATAAAATGCTACAATGTTATTTTTTGTTGAAATAATAAAACCAAACTTTACAAATAATTTTATAAATATAATTTTTAAAACTGCTTGAAAAAGTTATACTAGTCACTGCATATGTGAGTTTTCAAATTCATATCTCTACCACTGAGAGTTTTAACCGAAATATTTTCTTAAGAAATCTTTGTCATTAGCTTTTCAAAGTTCTGCTATGTATGTTTATGTATATTGTAGTCATTGACAAGTTGATGAAATTTCTAATCATTTTAAATTAAATTAAAAAATCAGTTCTTTCCACCAGTGTAACCCAACTATATGAATTTGATTTATAGAATATCGAGATCTTGATGAAGTTATATAATTGGTTTTGCTATAATTGGCTTCTAAAATTTGACTAAATTTTGAAACTCTAGTTTCACAAAATCTACTACAGTAGATCTTTCTGCAGTTTCAGTTCAAATACTCTTATTTAAGAGAATAAGGATTATTTAATAGAGAAGACATTCTTAATGAGAAGTTTAGGATATTTATCCTGATTCAAGAAATATTTATAATTATTTAGAAATAAGAAGTTATATTAATATCCTTCAAAGAGGCTCTTAGTGTTTACTGATTTATTAATACAATTTTAATAATGCTGTTAATATACCAAATTTGAGAGGTAATGTTTCTCAAAATAAGCTGACTATGGACTTTTATATGATATATGTATTCTCTGACTCATTGAATAAAACAGTATAACAATTAAATACTTACAAGGAATTCCCTGAAAAAAGAATGACTTTTAAAATAATTTTAATTCAAAGCCAAGTTTCAAATGACTGTGTTATATGTCCAAATTTCTTAGATCATGCATCATCATTATTAATATTTGAGTAGTTTTTCTTTTATGTTATTTTTTTATTTTTTATTGCAATGCTCAGATCATTTTTGCCTTCTGTAACCATTAATAGAGAGCAAGTATCAGAAATAAAGAATTAGTATCTTATATCCTTACAAATCTGCCCAATATGGATAATGTTTACAATTATTTAGTCAAATAGCTATATTCTTATTTGATTTTCTCTGTGCCATATTGTTTGTTTACATTTAGTAGTTGTAGTATATAACAGTTTAATTAAATTTCTCAGATAAAGCATTCCAAGTATCAATTTTTCACAAGTTTCTATCTCTTATTTTGTTGATTGCATTGCAACATTCAGTTCATTTTCACATTCTGCAACTGCTAATCCATGTTAATTGCTTAATGGATAAAGAAGGTGAAAAAGACTTGAGTGTTATAATAAAAAGCAAATCAGCTAAGATGAAAAAATAATAAAAAATAATTAATAACACAATTATATTAAATGGAACAGAGGAAATAAGTTACTTCAACAAAAGTTAAGGAACAATCTTGTTAATACTTGATTGTGAACAAAATATCAACAAAATTTAATATTTGGTAAACATCCCCTTATTTTCAATGACTTCTCTGCATCATTGACCACATGATCTAATTAATTTCTTGCACAAATCAGCAGTAATTCCCTCCCATTCGTCTTTCAATAACTCCCATAAGTGATCCTGGTTTTTCGGGTTTCTTTTCTGAGCCCTTTCTCCAATTATCTTCCAAACATTTTCTATTGGATTCAGGTCGGGGCTCTGGGCTGGCCACTTCATTAGGGCGATTCCTTCTTCTTCAAATAAATCCATAACCTTCTGAGCCTTGTGGCAAGGTGCATTGTCCTGCATGAAAATAGGAGATTCATAAAGATTATGGTGTAATCTTGGTACCAAGCCTTTTGTAAATCTCAGCATTTCTGAAATTGACTTTTTTTCTTGATAGTTAGCGATAATGATTTTTTTTCTTCAAAAGGAAGCATTTTGCATGTAGAATTTGCCATATTAAAAAAAATAAAGTCCTAATGATAAATGAACTTTTACTTATTGTTGAAAAAGCTCCATCGAGTTTTTTTTTTTAACAATGTAAATTAAAAGTTTATGCAAATTATTAACATCGTTCCTTAACTTTTGTCGAGTAGCTTATTTTCTTTGTTCCATTTAATCTTTATTTAAAAAAAAAACTATTATGTAAATTTTTGTAACTTAGTATAATATTTATGCATTACACCCTAATCTTTATTTGGTAAAAATTTCATTGCTAATCATGCATTACTTTTTAAGTAATAAACATATTTATGTCTTTGTTGTTTCCGTTTCTTATGCACAAGGGTGTTGCAAATCAACCCAGTAGTGAGTGCTACTATTGGAAGGTCTGTAATTCTCCAAGTTAGTAATATTTACCAACATCCCCACAGGGTAGGATGTGGCACAAGGCAGAATTTAATGTGGGGCAATCTGAGCCTGTAGGCTTGGCCAAAAATTCCCTGTAAACCCTGCATAATCGGGTTTGGGTCTGTCTACCTCCCCAGATGAAACTCTGCCTTTCAACATAGCCTCATCCGGTAGGCAGAGAGTTTGACAGCAGCCAATTTTTACACACATCATACCAATATTCTGTAATTCACATCACAAAAAGAAAATACAATTTCTTGTTATTTATGTCAACATGTGTCTCAAGTTTTTATTGTTCTTCTCATTGTTTTATGTATTCTAATTTCTGTCATTTATAACAAAGCCCATTACAACACTGACATTGACAGTCTCCAGAATAGCAGTGCTGCTGTGAGTGACAAGGCTAAACAGGCTAACTTATCTTATTACATCTGCCAGAAAAGACACATTTGCAAAACTCTCCAAAAGCCTTCAGGTGAGCCTGCATTTTATTGGAATCTCTCAGCTACTCAAAGTTAGTTTCCAGAATGCTGACAGAAACCAGGAAAGACCAGAATGTGGTTGTTGTACAAAAGCTTCTGTGGTTCTGACCTGGCACCCTCAGGCTTTTATCTGTTTGGCCCCATGAAGAAAGCTTACAAAGAACACTATTTTTCCAATGATGATGAGGTGAATGAGTAACACAACCATTTCTAAAAAAAAAGCAGCTGACCAATAAGCTTCTACAAGTATACTTGTCCTCATTCAGAGGAATATCACAATTGAGAAGGAAGATGATGTTGAGAATGGACATTTTGTGTTCATTTTAGTGTACTTTATGTGATTCTACTATTAAATCTGTTATAATTAAAGAACAACAGGCATTACTTTTTGACTGATCCTGTCACAATTTTGATTAAGAAACTCACAAGGTATATCTGTATTGCATGTCTCTTTTTGTATATTCTTGCCTGAGCATTTTTTACCATTACACTTTGGCAGTGGGTTGGAACAGGTTCTGTTTCGTTGTCTGAATCCTCCTTTACAGTTTGAATTGCACTTTGACCATTGAGTCCACAATGTCCAGCTTCCATCCACTACAAAGAAACAGATATTTACTTCCATTATTACAAAAGGTACTTCATTGAATCAGGCTTTCTGCATTTTAGCAAACAAGCTGGTATTCTATCATTCAAACAACAGCACTATTTTCATATTTACAGCTCATACTGTAATAAATGAACATTTATTAAATAGTAAAATGTCATATGCAGACAGTTGATGCCCTCTGATCAATTTAGCAACTTCAATAATTAGATTATAATAATTAGTCTTCAATAATTAGATTCAAATTAAGTTCAACAATAGAAATGAACCAACACCTATACTATCAATTTTAAAAATCAAATTATTATAAAATTTTAATTTTATCAATTATTATGCTTATACATTGTGAATTATTAAATACTTTAATCAGAATGTCTTGAAAGAAAGTTTTCTGATTTTAAAAATCACCACACAAATTTATAACATCAATTGATATCGTAGTGATAATGACAATCATAAAAATAAAAAGTGAATGCTATCTTTGTTTTTTATGCAACAAATTGACTTGAAGTGAAAAAATATGTTGTGAAGTCATATTCCCTTGAAAAGGAATTCATTTTACAGATTCATCTAACATTAAGTAAATTAATTAAATACATTATTAATAAAATAATAAGAATAAAAAATGAAAATTATCAAATTTTGTTGAGATAAAAATTACTTTTAGTCTGTAATTTATTACAGCTTATTATAAATAATAATAAATATTATTATTATTATTATTATTATATAAATAACAATAATAAATATACTTATATTATAATAAATTTATGTGTTAAAGAATTCTTTTTAAACCATCAGATAAAAAACTATCTACCTATATTGATTATTTTTTTATCTACCTTCAAGTTTGGGATGAATATGTCCACTATAAATATTTTTTAAACTTATTTTAATTTCTGTTTTATGAAAACAAGTAGTTATAACTCAAATTCCGAAACCTATCAATCTATATTTAATTTAATGGAGAGTGATATTAAGTTTTTTCATATTTTGAACTGTCCAAACTTTTGAGTGTAGATAAGAAAGACTGCAGACTTATGAGAAATAAAAATGTGATTATCTGCCCTTGGCAATTTAAGGTTAGCCAATTATCTCACAGCTGCTGATTGGTGCACTTTTCTACCTTTTTTGAACAACTCTTTACTCTTGGTACAACCTTTGGAATGACCACATACTGAATGGGTCATCTCTACACCCTTATCACCACAAAATCCATAGATGGCAAGAGCATCAACTCACCTTCAGCAGATAAATTTGATCACAGACACCATTAAGTTTGCAAGGACCCATTTGTAATGTTGATTAATATAATTTGTACAAATCATAAATCAGTTGCATTCTCTACTTTTATTAATACAGCATCTGTCACATGTGAATCTTATTATATGGGACCCACTCCAATTCCCTATAGACTGTAATAAAGATTTCAATTTATATAACAAAATGTTAATGTAGTGATACTAGCAAATTAGTATGCATAATTTGCATATGCAGAAGTGAACATTCTTATAAGTGGTCACTGAGAATAACCACCAAGAATACGAGTCTAGCGACTGATTAGTGCTAACCTCCACTTCACAACAATGGCGTTGCCGATAGGATTTCAATTGTCTCTGGAAGATCCAGAATTTGTCGATACATGGATTCGTTGCTTCTCTGCCACTGCGAGAACAAAAAAGTTGAAAGACAACAAGGAAAAGGGAGGCAAAAATGAAATCACGGATTTATTTTTGGCTACAGCTGGATGCGAGGCGGTAATGAAAGTCTCCACCATGGCATATCCCTTAAATTTGGTAGACCTGACTTTTGAAAAAATAAGTCAGATTATAAAAAAAATTTGAGACCTTGGTAGTGGCAGAAAGAACGAAATTCATGTCGATGAAACAAGAAATTGACGAACCAATTATAAAATATCTACACTGTCTACGAAATGCGAGTAGATATTGTGAATTTGAAAAACTTGGACAAGACGAACAGACCATTGAAGAGGACTTGATTCAATTAAGACTAATTGAAGGTATGTCCAATGCGTCACACCGATATAAAATATTGGAACAGTTACAAATAGGAAATATGTCTTTAAATGCTTGTATTGAATTTATGCAGCAACAAGAACTAATACAGACATACCACCATTATAAAAGTCAACCCACCGAACAAAGATTCGTGGATACATACGCGTTAAACAAGATAAAAAAGTGTTTGTATTGTGGACGTGAACACGAAATGAAAAAGGAAAAGTGTCCAGCATTTGGAAAAACTTGTAATAATTGCTAAAAAAAAAGAACCACTTTCAAGCAGTGTGCAAATTAAAAAAGAAAAAAGTTGAAAAAGTTGAAGAAAACGACACCGACAGAGAAGTTTTTACTGTGAAAAATAAGACTATGGCACAGAAGAAAAACGACATTATAGTAAAGGTTAAAATTAATAACTGCAATTTAGATATGCAAATGGATACTGGGAGTGAAGTAACACTGATACCAAAAAATTTTGGGGAACACATTGGTAAGCCACCTTTACGGAAAAGCAATTTACAACTCCGCCAGTTTGATGGGCCCGTTATAAAAATATTAGGATACTTTGAAGGTTCGTTGGAATTAAAAGAAAAATTTGAAGTAATTCCTGTAATTGTTACAAGTTGCAAGAAAAACCATGGCCTTATTGGAAATGACGTGCTTAATATGAATTCTACTAAGATAATTAATGAAATAAAAATGGAAAAAACTGGAAAGTTAAAAAACTATGAAGCAAGTTTAAAAGTAAAAGAAAATGTTTCCCCCTCTTATTATGAGGCACGAAAATTACCAGTACATTTATTGCCATTAGTAGTGACAAAACTACGTAAACTAGTAGAACAAGATCTTCTAGAACATGTTCCACCTGGAGGTAGCAAGTGGACATCACCGATTGTGGTTTTGAGGAAAACAGATGGTGATTTACGTATTTGTGGAGATTATAAAATAGGAGTAAATCACAAGATATGCTCGGATTCATATCCCATACCCAATGTGGAACTTGCGTTACATGCACTGGCAGGGATGTCTGTTTTTTCAAAAATAGATTTAAAAACGGCATACCACCAAATATCAATAGACGAAAACTTCAAAGAAGTAACCACGATAAATACGCCAATAGGGTTACTAAGATGGAAAAGAATGCCATATGGTATAAAAACTGCAAGCGCCATATTTCAAAGGGCCATTGAACAGGTTTTAGGAAAGGTACAAAATATGGTTTGTTATCAAGACGACATATGCATAGGAGCTACTAATGAAAAGTAATAAAAAGAAAAAACTGATTTAGTCTTGAATAGATTAAGAAATGCTGGAATGACGATAAATGAAAAAAAAAATGCGTAAGCAATTCTAACAAAATATCTTTTTTAGGTTATTCCATTTCAAAAGAAGGTATATCACCAGACCAAGCATTGATAGAAAAAATATTAAAAGTAGCTACACCTTCAAATAAAAAAGAATTGGAGTCTTTTTTGGGATTGGTAAATTTCTACAGGCGATATTTACCAAAATACACGGACTTGACGGAACCGTTTGCAAATTTAAGGAAAAAGAATGTAGAATTTATCTGGTCAGGCGAACAGCAGAAAGCTTTTGAAACATTAAAAGAAATAATGTCAAAGAAACCTGTAGTGAAAATTTTTGATCCAAAAAAGGACATAACACTCACTACAGATGCAAGTGAACATTCAATATCGGGAATATTATCACAAGAAGGACATCCGATAATGTATTTGTCGAGAAGGTTAACGAACACTGAATTCAATTACTCGAACATAGAGAAAGAAGCATTGGCTATTGTGTGGACAACTACCAGAGCCCGACAATTTTTAATTGGGAAAAAAATTTCTATTAAGAAGTGATCATAGACCATTAGAGTTTATATTTAACCCAAGGAAAGAATTACCCAAAGTCACGACATCAAGGATTCTATGATGGGCGATAAGATTGATGGCATTTGACTTTGATATAGAGTATGTCAAAGGAAATTCATTTCCACATGTGGACACACTATCAAGGTTGAGGTTTTACAAGGACTCAAAAGACAAAACGTAGGAAAAATTTGAAGATTCGTTCCTACACTTGATAAAGACTTATGTTTTGTCTTTAGACAGAATGGCTGTGGAAACGAGACATGATCCGGTGCTAAGTAGCATAGTGTCGAGAATAAGAAAAAATTCGTGGGGAAATTGTTCTAGGGCGGAAAGACCTTGTAAAAAATTAACACAAATTAACAATAGAACATGGAGTGATATGCAATGGAGACCTGGTAGTTCCCCTAGAAACACAAAGAAAGCCGATAATAGAAAGTGTACATGATGATATACACTGTGGAGTAGAGGCCACACAAAAAAGGATAAAACTAGAAGCTTGGTGGCCGGGTTATTCAAGACGTTGAGGATTATGTAAAGAGATGTAAAAAATGTAAAGAAATAAGAAACTTTACACAAACCAAGTTACATTCATGGCCCAAAGAAGTGGAGCCATGGAGTAGGGTCCATATGGATCATGCATATGTAAATGGAGTGGGACTCTTATTAGTAGACTCTTTTTCAGGTTGGCCTGAAATAATAAGGGTTGCAAACAAAAAAAGTTCAACTATAAAGCAAATTTCTCTAGAAATGGTATACCAAAAACCCTGGTATCGGATAATGCACCAGAATTTTGTGAGGAAGAACTTAACGTATGGTTAGAGAAAATAGGGTGTAAACCATATAAAACTCCTTCGTACCACCTTCAATCAAATGGACTAGCAGAAAGGATGGTTCAGACCGTAAAGAAGGGGCTGAAAGCATGCTCTCAGCAAAAAGAAAAATAGAAGTTTTTCTACCGAGGATGCTTTTAAGTTATCGGACCATACCACACGCGGGAAGACTCGAAAGCCCATCAGCTTTAATGGGGAGATAGATTAGAGCTCCGCTAACTATGTCATACTCTACAAGTGAAAAGATGTGGTATAAAAAGAGCAAGGATGCAGATCCAGAAGGAGCCGAGTTTATAATGCAAAAAGGCCATAATACAGCCATAATAAATAGAGAGAATGGCGATAGTGTGTTGGCCCATGCTGACCAAATAAGGACTCAGGGTGAAGAGGAAGAACGAAATGACGAAGAGATGTCAATTTCATCTGATAATGAGTTGGTAGAACAACCATTACAGAAGGAAACATCAGGGGAAACAATGCAGGAGGAAGAGGGACAGAAGGACTCTGAAAGTTCAGATGAAGACCAGAGTATGTGACTACAGCCTAGACCGGGACAGATCGAGGTCTCCCAGGGAAAGAAATACGGGAGAGAGAGAAATAGAGCAGAGTGAGGAAAATGGCAGAAGAAGGAGTACAAGAGCTACGAGAGGGATAAAGCCCTTAAGGTTTAGGGAGATGTAGTGATACTAGCAAGTTAGTATGCATAATTTGCATATGTAGAAGTGAACATTCTTATAAGTGGTCACTGAGAATAACCACTAGTAGTAGTAGTAGTAGTAGTAGTCTAGCAACTGATTAGTGCTAACCTCTACTTCACAACAGTTAATTTTTATTTTTATTTTTTACATGTATTATTTCATGCTCACACACATTTCATTAAAATTCATGTTTTAGAAACTTGTACAAGATGATATTAAAAATCTGAAACCAAAATACAAATACATAAATATTTCTAAATGATTTTTAACAGAGAAAAAACGTAATAGCTTCAATATTTTGTCTTCCCTTACATTTTCAGCTGGTAATAATATCCTGAAATTTGTATTACTTCATTTTATGCATAACACATTTATAATGGTATGTAATTTTAAATATTTTAAAACATTTTTCTTTATAGCAAACATATGAGTCTTTTCAAAACAGTATTATATATTATATATTAAGTATAATAATAATAATAATAATAATAATATTATGTTCTATTATTCTGTATTACTTTTACATACCTACAGCTGCTGTATTATTAACACAATGTTCTCCATTCTCCATGCAATAGCTAGAAAATAAACAAAACATTTCATTTATCATGATTCCCCACACAAAACAGCTTTTATGTATTTGTGAATGAAACATTATATTAAATTGCTTAGTAAATAATTTTTTCAAGAAAAACTATTAAAATTATATTCTTATGAATAATATTTTTTATAAAATATATTTATAGAATTTTTTTCTAGAGAATTTAGAAAATAATAATGTTTCCTATTATATCTTCATTAAACTAAATAAAAAGATATAAAGTGAATTTATTTATCTCATAAATACATTTGCCATACCATTCTTGACACTCTGTAGAGTTGATTTTATCATTTACTTTGTAAATGACATCATTGATTGTACAGTTGAGTCCACAAGTAGTAGCATTGCACTTTCTTATTTCTCTTTTATCTGGTGAAGAACAATTATAAGAGAGTTCCTTGTCTACTTTCCTGTGAGAATAAATGTAAGAATATCAGTTTATACTGATAAATTATATTCTTAATGAGATAAAATTACAAAAATAGAAAATGTCATATGTTTTAATGTAATTTTAAATTCTTATAAATTAATTTTCTCTATCAATTTTTAAGTGGTATTTTCTTAATCTTATTAGTTACATCTTTCTAAGTTAAATACCCACTAATCATTAAAGTAAGCAATGTAAATTAAAAATAAGCAATTTCTAACAAAACTTGAACCCACATCCCAGATCCTGAGTGCTTCTTTTATAAAAAATAATTTTTAATAAAAGGTATTATCAAAATTGTATGAGAAAAATAATTAAAATGTTGGAACTGTGTAAAAAACGATATAGAAACTATTTTAATAAAAAAGATATTAAAATTGTATTGTTTTGACCATAAAGAAATACATAAATAAAAAAATTAATTATACTGGAGGTAAAAATGGAGGTATCATGTCCAAAAAAATAAATAATTAAAAACGAATTATATTGTCATAAAAAATTTAATCAAAATAAAATAATTATAATTATCAATAATTCACTTGTTCTAAACCAATGAGAATCACCCCACTTTTTTCCTCTACATACATAAATACATGACATTCTAACTATCACACAAGCAGTTCATATGGACAGCTCATAAACACACGTGTCAATGAAAATTTTGTCTCCTTTTCCTTTTTCAGGTCATAATATTAACATTTATGCTTTAGCACTCAAAACTTTGAGGTAAAAACCTCAAATACTTGTATTTTTCCAACTAAATTATCTGGACACTCATTAAACACAACTATAAAAAACATATGAGAAAGACTGTATACACTTTGCTTATTATTTATCTTATCCTTCTGTCAGATTCCGATCCATATTTGATCTACATTTGGTGACAAACTCACAATTTTACTCAGTATTATTGTCTCTCGTGTCTTCAACTTCACATAACAACCAGTATACATAATACACATTTTGTTGTTTCCATGTCTTGCTGTTTCTCATTTTTATGAGTATTTTTGTATATATAAATGTTAGGAGGTTTATAATTATTTATTCAGAGTTATAACTCCCCTGTAGTATGAAAAAGTAAGAAAATAATGGAATGATTAAAAATATAAAAATTATTCTTAATAAAACAGATGAAATTATCATTAAATTGTATGAAAAACTAAGAAAATCAGAATGTCACTAACATAGTTTCTATGAAAATGAAACTGACAAATTAAACTAAATGGCATATAAAAAAAAACATGTATAAAAATTTCTGTGCAAAGATTTGTATAAAAAAGAGGTTTCACTATTATGATAGATAAAAAAATAAAATAAAGCTAGACAGTTTCTAAAAAAAAATGCCAAAATGAAACAAAACGGTTTTAAACATTCAGTGGCCAAATTTTACCAAATGAGAATCAACTTTGATGTTGTTAAAAACTGCCAAATTTAAGTTGCAAACAGGTGTAGTTTGACTGAATAGTGATTTTTCAAGATTTTAACCAATGGAGATAAGAATTATGCATATTTAGTTTTGAATAATTTGTGTAATTTTTAAAAGTTAAATATATTATATTCATAGTTACAGCTTTTCTAAAAATTGGTGCAGTCCGAAATTATTTGCCCCAGCACCTTATGGAAATTATGAAATAATAATACTCTATGGCAACTGTAATGTTTTTTCTTAAGTTGACATTTAATACAAACACCCTTTGAAAATGAAATAGTATTGACCTGATTCTATAACATTCTAACGTCTAATAAAGAAGACAATATATAAGTGACATGTACCATGATAACTCATTCATTTTGCAACTATAACAATGATGGTAAACTTGACAAGAAGCTTGGATAAAGATAGTTGATGTATACAAACAAGGTGATGGATATACAATACTTTCCAAGCATTTAAATGTTCCAAGATCAACAATTTGTGACATTATCAAGAAGTTGAGAATAAATTAAAGACTGGTAGAAAATGGTTCATTTCTGAGAGAATGGAATGGAAAATTGTTAGAGATGTCTCAAAGAATCCTCACTTACGAACAGAGAACATTGTCAATGATGTAAAGACATCAAGGTTGAATGTATCGACAAAGACAGTCATTACAAGATTTCATCAAGTAGGACTTTGAGCTGGCTGCCCAAGGAAAACTCCCTTACTTAAGGCTAAACACCTAAAATGCAGATTAGCTAATGATAGAAGTCATCTAGAACATGGGAGTAAATATTGGAAGATGTCTGTTTTATGGTCAGATGAAACTGTGGAATCTTCCATGTCAGCCAGTCAACCCTGCTAGAAAATGCACTATTCCTGTTGTAACTTTCACCACCACCATCTTACAAAATATATAACAAGCATTCATTGGTTAATCATATTCAATCTAGCTTGCTAATTGGTCAGTTTCAACCAATCAAATCACCCCCACACGACAGGTCTATTTTGGCACCAACTCAGTCGGAGCCTGTCACGTGGTACAACAAAATTATAAAAACAAAACACATGTAAACTCTCTCTCTCACATCTCATTCCTTGTTGCCAAGAATTCCCGTCTTAACCTTTGCGGTCAGACGTAAAAGAACTTTACAACAATTCATACAAGTATGAACTCTAAAATCTCTTCTGAACTCTTACCAAGGTTTACAACTCACAATTCCAAACATGCTAAAGGAACTTTATTCTTCTAAACTACAGTTTAATAATTACTTTTTCTTTATGAGCTTAGGTACAAATATTTCCAAGTCTAAGAGACACAACTCTGTCTAACCCTTTCAGTTCACATGCATGTATATCAAATACTTAATTCAATTGTTACGTTTTGAAACAATACGTCATGATTTGTTTCTAATATATTGTTGTGGACAAATGTTTTTAGAACACCAACACTAAAAATCCTTTTGATCACTCAAAATACATTCACAAGTCTGCAACAAAACAAAACTAGGATTATTTGGTTACATGGACTCCTGGGTTAAGTATGGAGGAAAGTCAATGAAGCTCACAAACCAAAATTACCCTCCCTATAATTAAGCATGGTGGTCAGAGCATTCTTCTCCGGGGATGTTTCGTGGTTAGGAGAATTAGTGAGAGTACAGGGTATGATGGATAAAGAGCAATATTTGGCTGTTCTTAAAAATAATATAAAAGGAAGTGCATGAAAGCTGTCTTTGGGTGTCACAAGACATTCCAACATGACAATGACCTGAAACACATGGCACAAATTGTTACAAAATACTTAGATAATTTTGTCCTATGTTAAATGTTTTTTAATGTTTTTTTTTTGTATTATTGTTTGACATTAAAATAAAAATTTTGTTGTGGATGTTTCCATGAAAATTTGAGGTATTACAGCTTTATTTGTAATTATAAAAGGGGGGGAATAATTCTGTCCACAACTATATATATGAACATCTTTTCTAAAATTATGAGTTTATCTCATTCAAATTATTTTTAAACTTGTGAGAGTTTATTTTGTATTTGAGAACACCTGTTTCAAAAATCTAAGTAAGAGTTTTGTCTTTTTCATTATTAAAGAGAAGAGTAAGAGATTTGAAACCTTCTCTTATCCTTTTTGACTCTTTTACAGATGATGCCTTAAGGAATTCAGTCATGGAAACTTATAGCTTGATAGGATGCAAATTCACAGTTACACTGTCATCTTTCTACTCCAAATATTTACACCATATTGTTTGATCATTACTGCTTAGTAATGGTCTTAAATTAGTATTATTTGCAGAAAAGAGTTTAGCCCCAAGGACATTCATGCAGACATGGTTGCTACATTAGGGAATGATGCCCTAGTTTTATAAACAATGAAAAAGTGGGGATTTACGAAGGGAAGAGTGAATCTTGAAGATGACCCAAGGACTGGACATACTTTGACTGCTAATACTGAGGAAAACATTGGCTATGTTCACCACATGATGATAGATGACAGGCAATTGACTATAAATAAAATAGCTAATATTATTAGCATATCCCATAAGAGAGTTAGAAATATTCTGTACAATGAACTTGGCAAGATGAAAATAAAAAAGTTTACCTAGAAATAAACAATGCTGTTATTAATAAGAAAAGTTGAAATTAATGAATGCATTTTTGCAGCTCTAGCATCACTCCTTCATAGTCAACCTATGAACTTTTCAGCCCATCCTCGTATTATCATACGTTTCTAGATCAATTATGTTCCAGCCATTAAAACAAGTAAATACATAAAAAATATTTCTATAACTGCACCTTACAATTTATGTGGAAGTGGCATGCATTTTTCGCAGTATTATCTCTGATTATTTCAGATACTAGTTTTCTGTACAGAAATAAATAAGAATAGGTATAGTGGGTATATATATACTGCAAGATAGTTAACTTGGCATAAGGTACACATAATAATAACATGTCAGCACTCATCGGACTGATATTTATTTAGACAGCCAAATTGTTACAAATTTTTTATCCTACCTCTAACAACATTATTTTCTCATATATAAAGTTAAGAAAGATACCGCCAAATTAAACCATGTCATATCCTCCACTCAATTTACAATGTGGAGTTTTCAACACTGCAAAGCACAAAAAAAACCATGTCCTTGTTGTGTCATGATAATGCAAGGGAAGTAAACATTAAATTAATCGACTCAGTTTGATTTAAATCCAGTTATTTCCCTTGCACTTGCTATGTAAAGAAAAAAATTCCAATTTACTCTTCTATACAATTAATAATTTGAGCACATCTACGTGGTGTAATGGTTTAGCAAGATTGTCTCCCTGGATCAATTACGAGTGAGTAGTGACTTTTGATTCTCACTCGGTGCTCCATACTTGTCGCCTTGTGTCACATAACTATACAGTTAATAATCATTATTATTATTTGTAATTATCATCATTGTGCAAAAGAAAATCTACATCCTTGTGAATATTGAATTTTAAAAATGGAGACTCAAAAATATGTAGAGCTTTTTATTAATATTATTTTATTTTTAATTATTAAAAAGGAATTAAGAAAAGGAACATCTTTCAACTAAATTTATCTTTATAAATGATGATTATTATTGAAAAGTATAACTAATAATACGCATATAAATGGAGTGTGTTGTTTAATTTGCAATATCAAAATACTCTTTTAATTATTTCAGTTTAATGTAACATTGTACCCGATGGTATTCAGGTCACATGGCATTTCTCTTTTCATATAATCTTAATTATAAAAGACAGAATGAATTCCTTTTTGAAGAGCTCTTTTAGGGACCCAAGAAGGGATGAGGAATTAGGATTTAATGATCGCCTCATTAAACCCCAAAGAAGTTGAGTTCGACACGAGGGTGCCAAGTTTGAGTGAAGTCAAACAGATAATAATGGCGGCTAGATCAGCTTCGTTGCCAGGTCCGAGTGGCGTGCCTTACTCCGTGTACAAGCGTTGCCCAGGTCTTCTCATGAAATTATGGAAGATTATTAAAGTAATTTGGTAGCGAGGTAAAGTTGTAGAACAATGGTGATACGCAGAAGGTGTTTGGATCCCAAAAGAAGAGAACTCAAGCAATATCAAGCAGTTTTGATGTATCTTGTTACTGAGTACAGAAAGCAAAATATTTTTTAGTGTGATCTCCCGACGGCTATCAGCTTTTCTGCTAAAATAGCTTTATAGATACAGCGGTACAAAAAGGCGGAATCCCTGGTATGCCTGGCTGCGTTGAGCATATAGGAGTTTTGTCTCAATTAATAAGGGATGCAAGAAGGAATAAAGGGGACCTGGCTGTTGCGTGGTTGGTTTTGCCAATGCATATGGATCCATACCGCATTAACTCGTGGAAGAAGCTTTAGTTAGACACTACGTCCCAAGTAGTATCCACGAGCTTATCCTGGATTACTACAGTCAATTCCATCTAAGAGTTTCATCCGATTTGGTTTCTTCAGACTGGTATAGACCCGAGAGAGGAATTATTATAGGCCGTACATTGTCAGCCACGCTTTTTGTTTTCGCGATGAATATGCTTGTGAAGTCCGCTGAGGTGGAATGCCGTGGCCCCGTTTCCAATACCGGAGTTAGGCAACCACCCATCTGGGCTTATATGGACGATCTAACAGTCACTAAACAATCTGTTACAGGCTGTAGATGGCTGTTACTCGGTTTAGAGAGACTGATTGAGTGGGCAAGAACGAATTTCAAGCCAAACAAATGTAAATCAGTGGTTATAAAAAAGGGCCGGGTGTTAAAACACTATTTCACAATGGAAGGGAGGGCCATCCCGACGTTGGCCGATAAGCCTGTTAAAAGTCTAGGGAAATCTTTTTGTAATGCTCTGAAGGACACACCAACTATCGAAGCTATACACACTGATTTTCACTCGTGGTTGGCGAAAATAGATAAATCTGGATTGCCAGAGCATTTCAAAGCCTGGCTATACCATCACTGTGGCCACTACAGACATATAGCGTTCCCATCTCGACGTTGGAGTGGAGAGCTAGCAGTTTCCTCCGTAGATGGTTAGGATTACTTCAGTGATTAAGCAGCGCAGCTTATATGGATCATCCAATGCCATCCAGCTGCCATTCAGAGGCCTAGGTTAGGAGTTCATGGTTTCACTGACAAGGGAAACCTACCAATATAGAAACTCTTTATCTTAGAATCCAAAGTATCAGACGTTGGAATTGAGGTCAAAACGGGCAGAAAATGGAATGCAACTAAGGAACTGGCTATCGCAGAAGGGAACCTGAGGATAAAAGCAATAGTGGGTTCAGTCGCCGCACAGGGAAGAGCAGGCCTGGGACTGATTCCTTCCTAAAGGTTCGGAAAAATCACCATGAAGGAGCCTTAACACCTGATACAGGACGAAGTAAGAGCGGGAATGGAGGAAAAGCGGATGATAAAAATGGCAGGTTATAGCCAGCAGGGAGCATGGACCAGGTGGGACGGTGTAGATCGTCGGAAAGTGTCGTGATCAGATCTTTGGAATACCGACTTCAGCCGATCTAGATTCCTGGTTCAGATGGTGTACGACGTATTACCAAGCGCGACCAACCTACAATTATGGGGGAAAATAGATTCACCAAAGTACCCTTTGTGCTCGGGGAGGGGATCACTGCAACACATTTGAGCGGGTGCAGAACTTCTCTGATAGACGGGCGATATCAGTGGCGTCATGACAAGGTTTTAGAGGCGACAGCGCTCATTGTTGCTGAAGCTTTGCAGAGCAATAAACTCATCACAGAAAACAGCGCTATCCGCTTCGTTAAAGGAGGTGCAAAGCCAATTAAGAAGGTTGCAGGATCCCATTCACTGTTATCGTCCTCGTCGGATTGGCAGATGCGAGTCGATCTCGGGAAACAAATGAAATCCCCTATCACATATACCGTCCTCCAAACTCCGTCCAGACATAATCGTTTATTCGGACGTCACGAAACAGATTATTTTGCTGGAGTTAACTGTCCCATGGGAGAGGCATTTGAGAGAAAGTATAGTAAATATGAAGGACTCTTAAATGATTGCAGAACTAAAGGATGGTACACTCATTGTTTCCCTGTCGAGATTGTCTGTAGGGGGTTCGCCGGACAGTCAATGATACGAGCCCTTACTAGCCTAGGAATAACTGGACAAAAAAGAAGACGGGCAATTCAAATGATCCTGGAGTCCGTCAAAAAGGCCACCAGGTGGTTGTGGATAAATAGGGCTAATGAGTGGCCCAAAACTACTAAAAATACAAATGTTCCTAGTGTAGATGGCTGTAAATACCACCACTAAATATTTTTAAAGCTTAAAAGTGTATATAGATTTGTATATATGTATGTTAAAATTGTATATATAGATGACGAGAAGCTTCAGAGAAACAATTTATTCGAGTTGCATTCAGTCGCATATTCAACAACTTCATTTTTGCATTTTGTCTTTCGAGATTTATTTTATTACAAAAAAATATTCTTACACACAATCTTTCCTTTTCTTTACTCGCAATTTTTTTTTTTTTTTTTTTTTTTTTGTCGTATTTACTCGTTTTTTTTTCAATCGGTTTCCTTTAAGGATATTTTTTTTTAGGAGCAACTTATTTTAACTAAATTTACACGCTATTTTTTCTTTTAACTATTATTCAATATATAAATAAATATCTTGATTAATTTATTTTAAGCAATTTTAGTTAAGTTATATGTTATTTCTCTTAGTTTTTAAACGAATTTCTTCCTAAGGATAATTTTTTGGGAGTAACCTATTTTAACTAAAATTTACGCGTTATTATGTTTTCTTTTCTTTTCTTTAGTATTTAACAGGTAAATATCTTGATTAATTTATTTTTAAGCAATTTTAGTTATGTTATTTCTCTTAGTTTTTAAACGGAATTTATTAGAGTATCAATCAATATCCCAAATTATTCATACCGCATTTTAGAAAATTTCTTTTTGGAAATAGTCTAAGTCATTTTAATCACTCTATTGTAAATACTTTTATTCTTTAATGCACAAATTGCATCGGTCTCTAAAGTTTATCGGAGTTCTAGCTCTCGAGACGATTTTCCATTTTACTTGTGAGGTTAAAATTAAATGTTTAAATTAAACATTCATCATTTTTTAGACATCTAAATTTCTATCAAACATTGAAATCTATCATAACATAATTTTGTTAAAACAAAATTACAGCCTCTTTCGTTCACTTCCCTCTCCCCCTCTCTCTTTGCCGTAACACTCATTTGGATATATCTGTATTACTGTCGTCTGTCTCCTCTCTCTTTTCCATTTTTCCTTTTCTTCTCTCCCCACTCCCCTCTCATTCCTATATATCATTTCCGTTAAGTTAACCATCTAAATAGGTCAAGGTTCGGTCACTTCTCCTACCCCAATATAAAGCATGCTTAAGAGAGATTTGAAATTAACCCCTCCCTATACTCTACCTTGTCTCTTTAACCACAACTCTCACCCCCCTGTTAAATTACAAAAATTACACTACCCATCAATTTTTAATCCCATTTTTCCTTTCATTTCGTTGTTGGAATTGTTACCTGATGATCCGGAGTCCTTTAAAAAGGATTTTGGTGAAATAAATTATTGTAATGGTACCTTAAAGTTGGTCTGTTTTTCATTAAATATTAGCTCTGTATTCACATTGAGCTCTCAGGATTTCATCCTCCTTGGAATTACCCATTCGGTTTACCAAGTTCTTTCTTATATAATATATATATATATATATATATATATATATATATATATATATATATATTGGTTTGTTTTCTTCTCTTCTTCCAAAAAACGGCCGCATGTAGGAAGATCAGTACAACCAAGCATATTCGTTCTATAACATCGAACAGCCCAAGTGAAGTCTTGATTAGTTGCCGTTTTCTTTGGGAACTTACATAATGCACGTCCTAAAGTTAGTAGCAAATTTTATTCTGGGTGCAGGCCGAATACTGATCATATTCGGCCGGGTCGCCCATCGAAGAAGTCTGTTGTTTATTTAGACCCGAAACTTCTAACGGCATGGGAGCAACAACACTGACGACGCTCCTGGATTCGGCACTTAAAGGTGTATTTTTAATAATTGCAAATTGATACCATACTATATATAGGACAAACTATCTTAAGTACACACATAGGAAGCAACATTACTCCTATTCTTCTAAGTAATTCAAATAAAAAATCATACAGAATGTAGGTATATATTTATTTTAAATATGAAAAATATATCTGTGGACGGAACTGTACTATGAAGCAAAATAAAATGCAGAAAGAGATGCAATAACAAACAGAATAAGACAGATAAAATTCTTCTCTTACAAGCAAGAGGCACATATATTTATTTTATTAAGTTTTAGATATGATTGAATGCAAACAGATGTTCATTCTACATGATATGAAAATATAAGCATTTTTTCTAAATAGAAATGGAGGACTTGATAAATAAGCCATGAAGCAGTTTGGCTTCTTATGAATTTGTGAAAAACTTTTACTTCTTATGAAGACATGTGCAAAATTAACCTGTATTAGGGAGTTTTATACTAACCTAAATCTCATTGTATGCCCTTCACCACAATCAGTACTACATTCACTCCATTCTGTCCAGTGCTGGAATAAGCAACCTGTAAGATTGAAATTGATATTTTAACATAACATGATTCATTATGGCTCCAAGTAGACTATTTTTTATGTCAGATTCACCACAAGACAGCTGCTGTTAACCAAAAGGGAATTAGTGTTAAAATAATGCTCATGTGATCAACTATAAGATAAAACAACTGGAACACTTCAAAGCAGATTTACAATAAAATGAAGTACAAAATAAGTTTATTTTTTATTCCATATAAGCAAAATTATTATAATTGGTAACTTTAAAATGGGTGGTTTTATCAGAATTTGAAAAACTATTTTCATTAATAACTATAAAACATCAAAGAATTATTTCAAATATTTAGCATTGATTGACAATAAATGTTTTGACAAACAAAATAATTGTATTACCTAAGTATCCATTTATTAAGTTGTAAGTTTAAATTTTATTCATTGAAAAAAAAAATAATTTAGTCAAGTAAATTTGTTTAGAGGATATAACATTTATAATAACATTTATTATATAACATTATTATATAACATTTATTATATATAATTTGTTTAGAGGATATAACATTTATTATATATAAATATGTTTACAAAGAGGTTGAAAAAGTAACAATTTTACATTCATAAATTGTATTTTCTCTATCAAAAATAGAAAGAAAGCTAAAAGATTATTATTATTATTATTATTATTATTATTATTTATTTATTATGATAATATTAATGAGCAGAATCCATTTCAAACTGATAGACATAATTGGTATTGCTCAACTTGTAGACAGATGTTTCTTGGTATAATCTCAACTAAAATGTTTATGGGACCAAAAGAAATGTTACCAATTATAATGATTTGTTTCAGAATAACTATCATCCATGAGAAGATAACAATTATTTTAAATGTCAAAATAATATTTTAAAAATTACTTACAGACATCTTCCTTTTTACAAGATACTGTTCCATTGTTTTCACATGTGCTGCAAAAAGTTAAATAAGTGAAGGCATCATGTTTTAAAAAAATTATTGTATTAAATACAAGCAGCATTCAACTCAAAATGCAAACTAAATGTACCCACCATGATTGACATATGTTTCCTGTAGGTACTTTAAATCCAGGAAGTCTTACTTGGCCATTTGAATCATAACAAGGACATTGAGATGGTTGAATACATTGACCATTATATTCTACCAATCCTTCTGGACAATGGCATCCGGGTTTGCAGTCTTCATTTTCTACACAGCTATTTGGTAATTTAATGTCCATACAAGTTTCAGGACAGTTTATACTTTTATTTTTGCAATCAAACCAAATTTTTCCATTTGTACAATTTTCTTTATCTGTAGTTATAAAACAGAATTTACAAAAAGAAATCCTTTTAAACAATATCAATTTCTTATCTCATGAATGTAATTATTTGAAAAGTATAATAATAATGATAACAATTAAAACTTTGCAACAATCTGTCTAAAACTGTATGTTGGATTGAGGTGAATATGAGAATTAAAAAGAGACAAGAGTAAGTTAGAATGGAAAAGATATTTAATCTGTAATTATCAATATTTACTAAGTTTAATTTAGTATACTACAAGATCAAACAAGAATAAGATTATGTTGCACCATTTTTCTAGTGGGGATAGTCAGCATTTGAATTTTACATGGGCTCAATGGGAAATTTGAAAGCATTGTCTGGCATAAAGTTGCAACAATGACTACTCACTATACAAATGGATTTTCTATGAAACTATCATTACTTTACAATAGGATTCTTTAAAAATCTTAATTGATTATTAAGCACACAAAAATCAAACTTACTCTTACACCCATTGCTACAAATCTTAGTTTCTACTCTCCCTCCCACACATCCAATTGCTTCAAATTTCTTATTGGATGATGTACATTTTCTTGACCTTTTCTGCTTTCCAAAAGTACAGAGCATGTCAGTACTACATCTACTCCATGATGTCCATGGAGTCCACTCATCTGAAAATAAAAAGCAATTCATAATTACAAAGCAAATAAATCATTTAAGTAATTTTCAAAATAATTTTATATTCTCAAAATTCTTATAGGTGGCAACTGATGATATTTCCTTATTCTATATTAGAGCCATAAAAACTGATAAAAAATATTTGTTTGAACCAAAAAAAACACTCATACTGGGAAATTATCTATGTATTGGAACCTAATATATTACTACCTTCTTAACAAAAAACCTATTAAGTTGGTAATATTTATTAATCAATTACTTTATTTTTTAATTATTAAAACACTTATTTAATAACAACATTTTGGGCATGATCTAGAATGAAAAAATAAAGCAACAGTTTTGAAACATTTTTTAAAAGTTTTAAGATCAATTACATTTTTGAAAATCTTTATAAAAATGTTACTAATAGTAGTAATAGTAAATGATTTGTAAATATTACTATAAATATTTTTTCTTTTTACATCTTATGTGGCTACAATATAATTTAACAAATAAAAGCAAAAGTTATCAAATATTTTATTTTATTTTTCAGTTTTAAATTTTCTGATTTAAGGCATAATTTTCAGCACAGTGTGGTAGGTTGTTTTGCAAAAAAGCTTTTAATTTTGCTTTTAAAACTTCTGAGATTTCATCAGGGTCAAGTTTTACTTAAAATAAATAAAAATATTTCTTTTAATTTTTAACAAGGAAAATTAAAAAAAAAAACATAATATTAGTCAAGGATACAGTAATATAGAATTTAAAATAAGTCAGTATTTTTACATATTTTAGAATTTTTCAGATATTTCCAAATTTCTTTTGAAAAAATGTAAAATTTACTCACTATTGCAAATATCTGTATTGCAATTAACCACTTCTTGAGTGGGAAGTGTACAAGGTTCTTTTCCAGCTGCACGGAACTTAAAACGATGCCGTCTTTTAATTCCATTGTCACAAGTTTTGGTGCAGATTGACCAAGATATCCAACTACTGTATTTACAACCAGTTACTGTTAAAAAGAAATAGTACAATCAACACAAATAAGATTCTTCATTTGGCTTATTTCATTTCCCCAAATGATCATTTATCTTTGCTTTTAAAAATGTAATTTCTTCAGAAAATGCAGAATCTATATCATGGGAATAGTACTAAACAGACTAATCTAGTTCATTAAAAACTATTGAGAATTTATTTTCCAGTTCAAATCCAATCATTTCTTTCATATGTTTTTAAACCTCGAAGAATTTGATTGTATATTTATTAATAAATCAGTGCCATATACATTTTACAGGAAATCCTATTATACCAATCAATACAAAATAAATTATATTCTTTGATCTTGTCAGTAGAGAGTTTTTAAGGGTTTCTCCATTCTCTCTCTATTACTGGAATGAAAAAGAGTTTTAGATTCTCTAATGCTTTATTGTGAGAATCTGATATATAAATAAATTCTATATATCTGACTAAATGTGAGTAACTGAATGACAAAATGGAAAAATTCTATGTAACACATTTCAGCCTTCAAAAGGACTTCTTCAGACTAAATAATGTTTTTATTGATGCAATCATATATATGTAGGAGGAGGGAAGAAAAATATAAATAAACACTGATTATGAAAAAACCTAACTTTAGATTTAAATTTTAACTCTATGTATCTAGATGCAGAACCTAGCCAAATTTATTTACCTTCTTTTATGTTTTTATCTTTTATCACAGTGGTTTCCAAATGTCCCACATTGTAATAGTAATGTTTTTTTTTAAGAAAAGTGAAATGTTGTATGTGTTATAAAATAAAATAAGACATATCTCGGCTGATTTTCAGGCAAATAACCTAACATAAACAAGAGCGAGAGCCCAAAATGACCATTATCGGCGTTTACGCATATTCCCGACGCACGAGTTCCGGTCGAAAAATAAAATAATATTTTAAAGTGTTTCTATTTTTCGACCTATAAAAATGCTTCCCTCCTAATTATACTCGCGTCGTTTTTCGAGCCTGTTAAGCCATAAAAAACGCCATAAAAAGGGTCACACGGTGAAGTACAACAGCAGTCAACAGGAGGCCAGGGAAGAGACCTGTCACGGTCAGGATGAGCGGTCAGCAGCAGTCAGCAGCAGTAGCGCCACGCCAACCAGCGAGAACTACTATGAGAGATCAACCCAGATCCGAAGCCGGCTTATGAACAACACCACAAGGTAGCTGTCCCAAACCCACGCATCCCTGTAGAAATAAATCATGTAAATCTATTTCTGCTGTTGTCGTATTTCTTTCTTGCAACCATACGCTTGTCTATAGCACTGGTGTCAGAAGCGTACAGCAAGAGAAGTATGAACGACTACACGACCTTCACCCGAGCCGAACTATTTACTCTCATCAAGGAACAGAAAACATTACTATTCAACTTGAAAACGGGACCAACACAGCCTTCCGAAGCCACGATACAAGAAATTCAAGCCGACATAAACGATGTGCTGACTGCCCTAAAATCAACAACTTTAACACCTCCCACCGCTCAAACAAACGGCGATTACAGCTTAATGATGCGCCAACAAACTATACACAACATATTGAAGCGAAAGAGAACTTTTCACCCTGGACACGACGTGAACCGATTCATCACGGCTCTAAACAAAGCATACACAATCCACGTCACGCCAGAACTCAGCACCTATCCCAGCCTGGAATGCGAATTCGTCAAGTCTGCTAAAGATTCAGCAGATGGTTGACTCAGAAAAAGACATATCCACCTTCCAACAACTGAAGGAATACTTATTAGGATCCCACGGAAGCCAGATGATTAACTTCCAACACCTCAGTCAAGCCTGGGATCTGGAACGGCGAGACGGCGAAAAATTAACAGACTTCGCGGGTCGACTCGAAAACACCCTTAAAGAGGCAGCCGTCCACATAAAAAACAAATACAAAAAAGACAAAAATACAGACTTAACAGTCGATGGACTTATTTCCATCATCGGCGCTATGCTAATGAGCGAAAAGGTGAAAATTTGGAACTCAATTCTTTACCCACATCTTGTCATGACAATGGACAACCACTATTCATCCACTGGCATAGCCTCCGAAGCTCAAAGATACCTTGATCGCGGTGTAAAATCCAACGACACGACTTCGCACGACACTGTGTATTTCACACAGAAACCACAGCGGTCAAACCAAAGAAACGCGCCACTCCGACTCAGCAGGCAACCAAACCCACAGCAGACGGGCCTCACCAACCCTCCCGAACATGGACACCATCCGACACGCAGAAAACATCAGCACACACCACGAATCAGCGTGTGCAAGAACTACCTCAGAGGCCGCCTCTGCCTCCATGGACGCAACTGCCTATATCACCACTCACCCCACACTCTGTCAAAGGCCCATATCGCCGCAACGAATGATAATATACAAGCCGTAAATGATGTGGAACAGGATTTTCGCTTCGGGCAGGACGAGATGTGATGCCTCGTTCGCCATGCCCCTACGTCAGCCATCACACCTTCAACTTTCAAGGACTCGCTCACCATTCACCGCTCATCCAGTCCACCTTCAACTTCAGGGACATCACCTTCTCTGGCGTCGCAATGCTATACTCTGGATGCTCCACCTGCATCTTACCAATATCTCAGTTACCCAGAGAAGCCAAGAAACACATGACCCGCTCCGACGTCGTAGTAAAAGGAATCAACGGCAGCACCACCGCTCTTGGCGAATTGACTTGCGACATCACCATCGGCAGTCGAGACTCACCCACATTCAAAAAGGTTAACGTGCTGGTAACTACCCAAACCACACCGATCCTGATTGGGCAAAATATCCTATGTCACAACACTCTCGATTCCTATCTAATCGACAACCAAAATGCGACTATAGAATTCAGACGCACACTTTCCTCAGGATACATAACACACACAGCCGCAATCATATCACCGTCATCGTCAACCAACGATCCAGCATATGGCGCCCAAGCTGACGTCATCCAAAACCAGCCTACTATGGAACTACAGCCCAACATCCAGACACTGGATCAAAAGCTAACCTGGCTAAAGCATAGCACGGGGCTATCGCTACCAAAC